ATAAAGGACCCAAGGTTTAATGCTTAAGACATATCCAGTGCTCTTAATTCTATCTAACTCTAGAACCTAACATTCCACCGAACAATTATCTATCTATCTATCTAGCTATCTATCTAATTGTATGTGTATATGTATGCATATTCTTTTTTTACTAAATAACTTGAATTGGACAAAGCAATTATTCCAGATATCGGGCCTCATGCCAGCAAGAGGCATTCCTTAAGTACTATCAAACAAGCATTTTCCCTGAGAGATTTAACCATCATTAGTGAAAAAGCTTCATTTGCAATATGGTGTGCAGCCCACTGTAGTGGGCCAGAGCAATGCATTATCACTAACTCAGAGAGATTAATTTAATGGGCAATTATATGCTTCCTGCTTTACACACCTTCAGGTAACCAATAGTAGTGTGCTTTGTGCCAGTCACCAGCGAACAACTACAGAACATCAGAGATTTTTTTAAATCACTTTTCCTTTCCATATCACTAAATATTCTGTGAAGAAATATTCTTGTTTGGGTGAGCAGAGATCTAGCATACCCCTGCTATGACTTATTAACCTCTGGGCTTCTAACTGCAGCCTTACCAGCGTGAGGAAGGCAGTGGGGATCTGGTGCCAATGCAATGCTTGGTAATATGCACAGCGAACTATCTGCCTCAGCACTAGAGGATAAAAGATATCTCCATTCTCATTAAAAGATAATGGATGGACTTCCCTTAAATCCACTCTTTAGTTTAATTTCATTTGTTTAAATCATTTTTTCTGATAAGATAGCATTCTGAGAGTAATTTTAAATTGTTCTCCCTGGGATGAATATCTCTCTTATCCTTATTAGAAACTTCTCCATTGAGGGTTCTGTTATCCTGGGTAATTTTAATATTCATTGTGGACAAATACAATAAATCTCAATTATATATATATATATATATATATATTGTTCCAAGACATGGTCTGTGGCTTTAGAAGACAAAGACAAGTAGTACCAAGAGGATTTAACAATCAAATGGAATAAACAAGTTTCTGGGCTGGTTATGTAGTAACTTCACGTATTTTTTCTTAAGTTATCTTTGATTTTATTATTTTTGCATCCTTTTAGGATATAGAACAAAGACAGTCTAATTATACACTTAAAGTTTCTAGATTATGTCCACCTTAGCTTTTATTTTAAAGACAAAATTTAAAGCTCTCTCTTAACATTTTCTTTCATACCAGAACTAAGAGTTACATGTAAAAAATAATAGTGAATTTTATAATAAATTTATATTTGCACATTTCCTAAGATAAATTGAATTAAACTTTTTCTTGGCTATATTGTACCTATGTAATTTATTAAGTTACTTTGGAGTGTAAATACAACAAAAAAAAAAATGGAAGATGCTGCCCATTGATTTCAGTAGAATAAGTTTCATTGTGTTAGAAATTCTAAATTATATAAGTATTTTCCTCAAATACAGGATCAGCATGTAAGTAGTGGTAGCTGTGTTCAATGTGTGTTTAGAGACACCTGTAAAACTTTGAGAAGATTTCTGACTTTTTGTATTTTGTCTCTTTAATAATAATAATAATAATAATAATGTTTGAAATAAATTTAGCTAGTCATTTGCCTGATACTCATTGAGGGTATTCATTTTTTTCATGAATTATATTTATTTTTTCTGTTGTTATTTTTCATTTTTGATAGTATTCGGGTTTGAATTGAGGGCTTTTTGCTTAGGGGATGATGCCCATAAGTAACATTTTATTGGTTATTTTCGGAGATGGGTTCTTGTGAACTGTTCTCCTGAGCTAACTTCAAACCATGGTACTTCAGATATAAGCCTTTGAAAAGCTAAGATTACATGGGCTGAGCCACCTGTACCTAGCTTACAATTTCAAACTTGATCATATATTTACCAAAGGAAGTCCCTCTTGGCAATCTTTTCCCACTGTCAGAATGGATCTGGCTGGATTTCCAGCATTCCTCGTTCATGGCCTACCTCGTGCCTCTGTGAAAATCTCAGCACACCCTGTTTCCTCTTTCACATGCTGTTTTTCTGGAAGACAATGGAAGGTAAACTCCAAGGAGGGCAGGACTTAAGTACATTCCAATTCCGGCTTTCTCCATAGTCATTAGATGGGTGATTGCCAAGTAAAGATTGGGTAATTAATTACTGAATAAAAGAGTGAATGGATATCTGTCCTAACTGGGTTGGACATTCTGGTGGACATGACTTAAGACCTTATGGGACTAGAACTCTTGTATTTTCTCTCTCACTCATCGGTGATTCCTTTCATATGGTTCTTTACTTTATGGATGGCCCCATGATAATTTCTTAACCACCTGTTTTGCGTGTTCATTCATTTTTGTCTCTTAAAAAGGAGTTCAGGATTGCTTATATTAGACACAACACTCATGCATCATTAAATAAAGGTGCTTAGCTCATAAAAATATCTGTCTTGGGTTAAAGTTAACTTGAGAAGTTTGTGTTTAAAGTATGAGAAAATTATTTCCTATCACTGCATGCATAGTGCATAGTTTAGAAAACAATTTATTTATTTATTTGATAAAGTATTAAACCAGCCTAAATATTTTTGTTCTTATAGGCTTAACATGATCATGAGTTTTGATTTTGCAAATTGTAAACATTTCATGACTTTACTCTTCTAAAAGGGTTTAACATTTCTAATAAACAAAAAAAAAAATCCACACACACAAAAAAAACAAATGTATGTTTATTTGCTATTTCCAGAAATGTCACATGATTTAATTTTGGCCAGGGAAGAACATTGAAAAGGGCAATAAATAGTATATATATATATATATATTACATATTTTTCCCCCAATCCTGGAGCTTGGGCTCTGTCCCTGAGCTTTTGTGCTCAAGGCTAGCACTTTATCACTTGAGCCACAGTTTGAATTCTTCCTTTTTTGGTAATTGGAGATAAGAGTCTCAGATTTTCCTGCCCAGTCTGGCATGGAACTGTGATTCTCAGGTCTCAGCCTCCTAAGTATTAGAATTACAGGGATGAGCCACCAGCACCTGGCCATAAATAGTATTTCTAACCCAGGAGAATTATCAAAGTTTTCAAGGTACGATCCCTAGCTAGAACTAGAGCTCAGGAGCATGGAAGCAAACAACCTAACAAATAGACTAAGTCCTTGGCCTGCATTCAAGTTGCTTTGAGGAAAAAAACATTCTTCACTCTTGAATGCAAGACTTTCCTATAAAACTTTTAGTTTGGGGATGGTCTTTTGTCTTTTTTATTTATGTATTTTTTGTTTCAAGTAGTGCTTCAAACTTAATGTAGGATCTCCTATCTTATAGACAGCAGTTTACCACTTTTGAGATATAGGAGCAGCATTTTGTTTTCATTTTTTTTTTGGAGAAAGTCTCAGGCTTTTGCCTAGGCTGGCTTACAATCTCATTCTCCTACCTCACTTCCCACATAAATGGTTTACAGACATTCTGCATTCTAAAATATATATTCGATATCTTTGGCTTTTTTTTAAGGTCTAGTTGAAGTTTTGCCCTGGCTAAACACTGGCCATCTTCACTTCCAGCAATGCTGAGATTAATGCATCACAACACCTGCTAGCACTCTTCTTTTTCTTGAGGCAGGGTCTTGTTCTGTGGCCCACACTGGCTTTGAACTCATGATTCTCCTGCTTTAGACTTCTGGGTATTAGAAATGGCCACCATACTGGGCTATCTATCAGTGTTCTTTTTGTAAGGGTCCGGGAAGGACCTACTCCCATCTCATAATGAGGAATACGTAAGCCCCACTGAATAGTTGGAAACACAACATTCATGCGTCTCACAGAAATTCTCCCAGTTTCTTCAGTTAGCTGCCTGAGAATATAAAGTGAATTTTAGGGGATACACCTAGAGTTTCCTTCCCTATTCTGTACATAATATATGTACCCATGAGTTTCTCTGCATATTGATGCTTCCTTTCGGAAGTGCCAGGGATGGAACCTAGCTCCTTGAACTTGCTGGACAAGTGCTCGACCACTGAGTGGCAACTCAGTTCCCTTTGTGTCTCATGCCAGCTGGTGTTTACATCTTCATTCATTTTCTCTGCACTCTAAGTCTATCAAGAGAAAATGGTTTTAATTCTTGAATCTGTGGACAATTTGGAAGGCCTCTTCAGGTCCTTCATGGAAATAAGGTATTCAGATCATATAAACTATGTTCGGCCTGGAAATAAAAAGATTTGCATGTTTTCTTTTCTTGTTTTATTTTTGTTTTGTTTTGCATGTTTTGGTAAAATAAAAAAGAAATGGAGACATCCGGTGCAAAAATCTCAAAATGGAGGGGTGACCTCAGCCAGAGTCATTATGGTCCTTTCATTAAGTACAAAGAGGCTGTGCTTATTAAAAAAGAACAGAAACAAGTGTTATTTTTTAATAACCCCAGAACCTCTTCCCCTATAACTAAATTACATTTTTAGACATAATTTTTCGGGGGGAAAAGCATAGCGTGAGTTTCTGTTGAGGATATAATTTTAAAGAGTACATAATTATTGTGTAAAATATATTGAATTTTAAAAACATTAAAAAGTATCTCTACAATCTTACCTCTTGAAAATCTTCTTTATCTATTATGTGGCTGACATATTTTTCTGAATGCAGGTTCTGAATGATTGAAGCATGCCAATCATTATAACTATATTGCATATAGTATGTTATAAACTTTGCATTTACTTACATTATAGTGTATTTCTTTCTAATATAATTTTTGTACCTACCCTTTTAACTACGCCCATATTTAAAAATGTTACACTGTTTTAGGGTTGACAAATAATTATAAGGTTAAACAATATATATTCTGTGGGTAGGAATATTTTCTTCTCACATAGCTTGCAAATATTTGATAATTTCCCATCATGTGAGTTATTGTGTGTTGAAATGATATAGTCTGAGATGCCTCGGGAAAATAAATACATTCCACTAAGAACCATTATCATTAAAATTAAACCTACCACCAAAAGACAAACAAACAAACAAGTCTAGCACTTACTAATTTCAGTAGCAATGATTGTGATGTTATGCCACACACTTAATTCTCTGTCAAGTGGAGTTGCCAGTGTTATCTTCCCATCATCTGCATTAATATTGAACTGTCTCTCCAGGTCAGTGTGCCGGTCGATGGAAAACCTGCAAAAAAAGATGATAGATCTGTAATCATCAACTTCACTGTTCACACAATCTGTGTACTCCACCACGAACTTAGGAATCCTTAGAGAGTCCTATTTGTGAAGTCAGATGCACTGGGAAACTCCCTGGCATCATAGTTTGTACAACAAAATGTCTACATGAGATGTAAGAAGCTTAATGATTATTGTCCAAGGAGCAATTAGCTACCTATGCAACATGGAGGTCATAAACTGCCATCCGTTTTGATAGGTAGCATCTTCAAAAAGGGATGCTGATGAAGAGTTAATTGGACAATCCATCACATTTATTGGACAGCTCACCATAATTAGTAGTTGCCACAAGATATTACATACAACAGTGAACTCAGACCCAAAGCGAGATGGTGGTAAGGCCACGTGTTCTTCATAACAATCCCAGGCAAACGGTTGCTTGAACTTTTATTTGAATGGACTATATTTCTGAAGTTCGGATTTGGTGGCAATTTTTGAAAGTCTCATTAAACTATGTGTTATTTATCCTATTACTCTCATGTTATAAAAAATTGATTGTTTATTCTCTAGTTACACACACACACACACACACACACACACACACACACACACACACACACACACAAACACATCAGTCCTGGGGCTTGAACTCAGGGGCCTGGGTACTTCGCTGAACTTCTGCTCAAGGCTATCACTCTACCACTTGAGCCATAGTGCCACTACCGACTTTTCTGTTTATGTGGTGTTGAGAAATAGAACCCAGGGCTTCATGCATGCCAGGCAAGCACTCTATCACTAAGCCATATTTCCACTCTCTCTCTCTCTCTCTCTCTCTCTCTCTCTCTCTCTCTCTCTCTATATATATATATATATATATATATATATATATATATATATATATATATGTTAAGAGAAATGGTTCGGGTCCAGTAGCTCACTTCTATAATTTTAGCTATTCTGATGGGTGAGGAACACAGTTCCAAGTTAGTCCAGGTAAGAAAATCTGTGAATCTCTTAGCTTCAATTAGCCATCAAAAAGCCAGAAGTGGAGCTGTGGTTCATGTGGTAGAGTGCTAGCCATGAAGAGGAAAGCTCAGGGACATCATCCAGGACTTGAGTTCAATCCCCAGGTCTGGCACCAAAAAAATAGGAGTGATATTAATATATTTAGAATACCAAGTAAATGAGCTGACATGTATTTGGTTTCAGATACCATGTATGCTTGATTCTTTAAAGAGCTAAGAAATGTCCAAAGGGTTAATGATCACCTTTTATATCATATTCAAAAAACATATTGTAGGCACTTTTGGATTCCACTGAGTTGTTTTTTTTTTAATCTCAACTCTGAGATTTCACACATTTGTGAATCAACCTGTTCCTTAGTAGCCACAGTAAATGAAATTCAGTGTCATCACTACACTAGATACAATCTAAACCAGAAACACACTTCATGGATGTTTGGTTAGTTACCAATACTTTACATGAACTTTCAGCCAAAAGTTTTGTAGTAATAGTGTTAGGTTATTTGAATGTTGTTATTTAGCACCCTGCTATATATTACTCCCTAAAGCATATCTATTATGCAGATCACAAATTTAGATCAATCAAAGAAATCACTTTCTCTCTATAGAGGGTGATGTTCAATGTCCCTTCTTCCACAATTCACAAATGGTCCAAAACTAAGAAATAACTTCAGTGTTTTTCAACTCCAACAAAAGTAGGGATTTTCTTTTGTTAATTTTTCCAGTTATAGTTCATGATAAACTTGTTTGGTGCAAGTCATAGGAACTTATAAAATAAATTAGAAATATGTTATTTTACTAGGAACAGAGTAAAAAATCTCATGATATTATGATCTCATTACATTAGAAGGAACAACTTAGTTTACAATGCAGTTTATCATCTACTCATATTGAGTACGATGGAGAAAATATAGAAATCGAAAGCTCTAAGTTGGGACTTCTGTTCACATTCTCTAGTGGCTTTGAGAAAGAGAGAATTTTCCCAGTGGCTTTCTAAGATCAGTCCAAAATTCCTCATGATATTTGTCCACATCACTGTTTACCACTCTCCAAAAACCTGCTAATATGGATATCTCAATAGAGAACAGACTGAGCTGAAGAGATCTGAAGGTTATATTGGTTTTTCTAGCTCATTGCTCCTACATAAGTCACCTTCATCTACAAGCCTCTGGCTTTTTTGATCTCCCTTTCTTAAGAATGTCTATCCTCTCATTCTTCAAACATTTCCCTGAACTTTGCTCTGTGCTCAGAAGAAAAAAAAATGGATGTTTGATTCATATATCATAACCTCAAATAAGTTGGAATTTTGTATTGCAGTTACCCAATAATGCTTCTTGTGTAATTGTGAAATTATTCACAAAACATAGATATTTCTTATGTGCAGAGCACAATGTTAAAGGAACATGAGGAAATGGACAGAATAAACAATGATTGTATTCAAAAGTTAAATGAAGACAGGCATTGTGGGGCATGCCTATAATCCCAGCTAAGTGAAAGTAGGAGGATCAAGGTTACAAAGCAGTTCCTGCTAAAAGGGTAAGACACTATACCAAACTGAAATAGGAAATCTAGGGGTCATGACACAAATGGTAGGTCATTGCTAGCAAGTACAAGGTCTTGAGTTAGTTTAAACCCAAAGGCTGTCAAAAAAATTAAATACTTTCAATTTTATAGTATCAAGTCTTATTTTTTTAATCTGAAGCTTTGAAGTCATCATTCTATCTGCTTGAGAATATGCATATATTGAATTTACTGTTCTTTTGTACAAGTATTTAAGAGGTACTAGACAAAAGACCTAGCACCAAGAAGAATAAGAAGCTTCATCTACTTGCTACAATAAGAAACTTCTCATTAACACAGAGGGAAGTAGCCTGCGAGAAAGTACGCTTCTTAGGTTATGAATATATCAATTCTAATGATGGAACTTTTGGAAACAGACAATCCTTTCAAGTGCAATAGACAGGTTTTAGAACCGGCATTATCCACGATAACCAATATTCACAGAAAACCAACTGAAACTTTTTCCTTTCTAATGCAACAAATACCCTGCCTGGCTTTCATACTACTGTTCTTCTAACTTTATGGTCGTGTTTCTTAGAAACTGACCTTAAAGACTTCATTTTTTCACTTTGTGGAATTAAGGACACAAATTCAAGGAAATTCCTAAGCTGGCTGATTAGCATCTGGTTCAAAGATGGTAATGGAACACACAGCCCTCTGCCCAGATACAAACACATACCCCTGGTTTAATTCAATTCAGACAGCTTGCTGAGATCAGAAATGAGTCAAAAGAAAATACCACTGGTGCCCCAGTTCAGTTGATGAACAGGAACAACTGAATATTATTGTGTGGACAAATAGTATACTCTTGTCTGGCTGCAACTGTTGATAGTAACAACCTTACCTGATGAACCTGTTCCATCATTTGCCACAGTCCAACTGCATACACAAAATTCTACCTCCTAATTTCCTGTGTTTAGGTATATAAGAATGACATAGATTCTTTCTATGTGTTGATATATGTATACGTGTACATAGAACATGTTTAATCTCCCATCAATCCATCCCCACTGCCACACATCCATACAAAGACCCCACCCTTTGCTTAAATCCCTTGTCTTCGATTAACACAATAAATAAAACATCAGTCTTAGCAAATTACAGAACACGTTCAGGAATTTTAGAAGCGGCCCTTTAGTTACAACCTGTGTCTCCTTCATTTTTGTCATTTCACGACAACACAGGCAAACTACAGGTTAAGTCTGGAGGGCACATGAGCAATCAAACTGACTGTCATAAAAATAAATGAGTCACAGGTTCATATAGCTGTTTTGAACTTCCATTTTTCAACCACTGTACTCATGAAACACCTGATTCTTCCCTCCTCACCCAAGGCATTACTCTTCTATTCCTATTTTCTCTGCCAAGACCAATTTACATGAAATTCAACAGTCTCATCTAAAAATGAGAACAATAGAATTGTCTACATGAAAATATCAACACCTACCTGTAGTATTTTAATTAGCATGAATTAATAAGACAACGGGATTTTGTTGTGGTATTTTCATGTGTATTGTGCTCTTCTTATAGTAAGTGATCCCCTAGGGAATATTTTCTATTATTATTATTTGTAGTAGATATTCAGTAATATATCTTGTAATTATACAACAAATGTCTTTGAAAGATTCTGTAATCTTTGGAAAGAGTTGCAAATTTAGAGCTTTCTTTCCCACAAAAAGGTTGATGGAGATTCATCTACTCTTTTTCTCTTTTTCTTTATCTAACTTAGGGTCAAATGTAGAAATTTCAATTTACAAATCGAGGGTGGTTCATTTGTCTTCTTAGTGTGTATGTTGTTTTACAGTTCGTTATGTTATTTTGCAGTTTGTTCTCAAATGCCTTGGGAAACTAGCATAACATACATTACATTATGTGAAACTTTAGGCAGTATTAAAAAAAACAAGTGCTCTAGAATTAATCTTGGATAAACTTGACTCACAATTGATATTTAACATTTGTATAATACCCATCAATAAATCCAAAGCTTTTCCTTTGAATCAGAAAACCAATAACATTGCAGAACAGAGAATACTAAATATGATGCTGTGATTGCAAACATTAAAAAATGCATGTAACATATTGCCCCTCTATGAAGGGATTACATTGTAAATTGTATTTACTTTCTACAAAGGTTTAGTGACTGCCTCTCAGGTCCAAATATGATGTTACATGTTTGGAGGTAGGGAAAGGCTTTCTGACTCATGGTGTGAGACTTTCTCATTGCTCAGAAGAAAAATGGCATGGTCTATAATAGAGGGACACATCACATAGAAAGAAATTGTTTCTAATTGTGCCTAGGAAGTAGGATTCCATGTGTATGTGTGATTGTGTACAAGTGTATGTGTGTGTATATATATATGTTGGTGAAATGGAGCTGGTCATAAAAAAGTGGCAAAAGGTGATGGTATCTGTTTTGAGGTACAGAGGA